ACCTGGAATAACGTTGCACATGTAAAATCAAGTTTTTTATATGTTTGTAACATAAAAAAATCAAAGAAATGATCTTTTTAAAATTATTTATGGCATCACAACTGTGTTGAACGGCACAAAAGCCATTTCTGAGTTCTCTCTCCGTCCTCATGGTTGTTCTGTTTCCGTAGCGGTGCAGGACTTTATATAAAAATGAGCCACAGTGAAGAAACAAAGCACCCAGGAGCTGTTGGGGTCCAGCGGGTTGACATTATGACCACTATGATGGAAGAAAACATCCACAACTTTGTGCTCACTCAGCCGAGCGGGAGGTTTAACGTGGCAGCGTGGGCCACAGTGGAAGCTGCCAACAGAGCTGCCTCTGCAAGTGTTTGCACATTTCAATAATATGCATATTATTATCTTTGATATATAATCACAACAAACAGAGGAACGGCCTCAGTTCAGTGTCTTTGTCTTTCTACTTGGAGCATCTGTTTGTTTAAGGCTGCTGAGGTGTTTTTGGTGGACTGTGTGGTCACACTGGAGGATTAGTGGTGGGGTTACTGTCACATCTCATCATCTTTGTGAGGAAGGAGAGCGACAAAGACGCAGAAGTAAAGTGAGAAAACTTATAAAGCTTTTCCATAATTCTGGAAACATCCAGTGTGCAGACACTTTGGGGAGATGAAGTGAGAAACAGACGGAGAGAGACGCTGCCTCCTCTGTCGCTTTTAAGATTTCTGATCCACGACTGAATGACTGAATGTTCATGAGATAAGGAGGTGAAAATGCTTTATGAGTGAGAATGCTCGGTCAGGACACGAGGGCCATGACCACAGCGCCATCTGTTTTTCTTTCTTTCTTTTTTTTCTCCGAGAAAGGCTGGAGGAAAGCGGTAAAAATAGACAAGCTCTCTAATTAGACTTTTCTGGGACCCTCACGCCACTGACTCATTCCTCCACCAATCAACAGCTCCCTCCTCGCTCATGCACAGTCTTTCCCTCTCCATCCTCTCCTCATCGTGTTGTTTGCTCGGTTTAGCGTGTTTTGCGGAGACAGGGTGCGTTCCAGCGACGCGGGCCCACTTACCCAGCCAGTGGCCTGTATAATTACACATGCAGCCGTTCTGACACTTTGCAGCGTGATGGAGGGAAACGCCGGAGGGGAACTCATCCACTCTCATTTGCAGGGCTTTAATTACAGATATGTTTGTTTTGTGGTGATTATAGAAATTAGGTAACCTCTGCGATCGCAGCGCTGACTGGAAAATGAAAAAATGAATCCATTTCCAGCAGATGAAACCTGGCCCTTATTGATTCACAGATCACCAACCTTTGGTGCACACGTGCTGCAGAAAAGATCCTTTTTTTTCTAATATCTGCTGCTGCTGGCATTAGCACTGTTCTCACTCGGCTTCAGTGCCAGATGTTTTTGCTCGCTCGGTTTTGGTGCTGCTCGTAGCATCCAATCACTGCGTGTTGTGTGTTTGTGCTGTAATAACATGGGAAGGATGCTGAGAACGTTCCAAGATGGAGAGAAGTGACACTAAGCATGATGACACTTGAACTATACGCATTCCCACGCGCTGATAATGGCCTGACATTTCCATCACGTTCCATCTGGATGTTTCTTCCTTTTCATCATCCGCTGATGCATATGATGCACATTATTTGTAGCTCAAACCCAACGACAATATAGAAGTGCTCTACAAGCTAAAATGCATTTAGATTGTTAATAAATCAATAAAAAACCAGAGCCAAAAGGCAGTGGAGTGGTGAGTCGATGGTGAGAGAAGGTCTAAAATTACAGAGAGAAGAATCATGAGGTTCTGTCAGGCCTCCACTCATTCATCTGTGACGTGCTGAACCAAATCTAACCACAAAGTCAGTATATTTCACTGTATTCATGCTTCATATGAAATTCTGCCAAAAAACATAATATTTGCATGACCATCCTGTAAAAAACGGGGAAGCTACTCGTGATTCAGCAGTGATCTAAAATGTAGGGACGTTTTGGCTGAACTGGGCTGAAGTGATGGGTGATGGCGGCGCGCCCCCTTCAGGAGACAACCAGAGTGAATGTTTTGGGTGTCTTGTCCATCCCAGACGTTCATTCCGCAAAACTTACAGCCCGGAGACTTTGCTGATCATCAGGACAGTGAACGATGTGGGAATTGTGGCGATCGGTTGTGATGTGGACATACTGCACCAACACGGAGTCCACGGAGACGACGCCGGCAGTTACCCGAGAGAGATGGAAGCGGTACGAACATAAAGAAAGGAGGAGGAAGAGAGCCGGGATCCATGCTAGGCTAAAGGCTAACCCCTCCAGACCA